AGTCAAGTAGATGGAAGGCTTTAAATATGTAGCAAATTTTTTGTAATGAATTTAAATGAGAATTTGATATGGCATTGAAGGATATATCAGGACTAGAGGTCGGCAGGGGTAATGGGAAGGATCTGGGTTTCTAATATTTAAGAAAATATATATTTAAGAACCTCTCTAAAAATAACCACCCTCTTTCTTAGCTAAAGAACCAAGAAAAACCCCCGAAGTTTATAGTTGTTCTCAAGCTATGCGGAGCTTAAAGTTTTAATAGAAATTCGTGCCGTCCGCAAAAATAAAAAAAAAAACACACACACACACAAAACTTATTTCAAAACATATTGTCATGCAATAGCCACCGGCCATATTTAGCACAATGGAATTTAAATTGTCCTTCCTCTCCTCCGGACTCTGGTCACTGTTTCCAAAGTTCGTTACTCAAATGACTCGATGAAATTACAACTTTATTAAGACAAGACACAACAAGAAAAAAATATGGAAACTTTCAAGCGGATAATATCTCCGTTTTTTCTTCTTCTTCATAAGGCCCAAGGCGTTTTTCCACTTCCAGCAGCAAACAAGAGGGAGGAAAAAGATAATCGACTCACATTATCATCGTTTAAGATGACAAGAGGATATGAAATAAAATGGAATTTAAGTTAATCGGGGGATAATCTCTTTAACGTGTACATGAGGTTGGGAGACAAACACAATTTTTAAAAATTATTTTGGAGGACCTAAACAAGGACATTCGGACGCGTGGATTTTTTAAACATTATTTTTGAGGATATTCGGAAGAAACTAAACAAGGCATCGATTTTTTAAAAATTATTTTTGGGGACATTCGAATTTTTTAAAAATTATTTTTGGGGACATTCAGAATTTTTAAAAATTATTTTTCAGGGCCTCCCTCCACACAAGGCGTGGATTTTTTAAAAATTATTTTTCAGGGTCTCCCTCCACACAAGGCGTGGATTTTTTAAAAATTATTTTTCAGGGTCTCCCTCCACACAAGGCGTGGATTTTTTAAAAATTAATTTTGAGGGTCACCCTCCACACAAGGCGTGCATTTTTTAAAAATTAATTTTGAGGTTCACCCTCCACACAAGGCGTGCATTTTTTAAAAATTAATTTTGAGGGTCTCCCTCCACACAAGGCGTGGATTTTTTAAAAATTATTTTTCAGGGTCTCCCTCCACACAAGGCGTGGATTTTTTAAAAATTATTTTTCAGGGTCTCCCTCCACACAAGGCGTGGATTTTTTAAAAATTATTTTTGAGGGTCTCCACACAAGGTGGACCTAAACAAGGCGTGGATTTTTTAAAAATTATTTTTCAGGGTCTCCATCCACACAAAGCGTGGATTTTTTAAAAATTATTTTTCAGGGTCTCCCTCCACACAAGGCGTGGATTTTTTAAAAATTATTTTTCAGGGTCTCCCTCCACACAAGGCGTGGATTTTTTAAAAATTAATTTTGAGGGTCACCCTCCACACAAGGCGTGCATTTTTTAAAAATTAATTTTGAGGTTCACCCTCCACACAAGGCGTGCATTTTTTAAAAATTAATTTTGAGGGTCTCCCTCCACACAAGGCGTGGATTTTTTAAAAATTATTTTTCAGGGTCTCCCTCCACACAAGGCGTGGATTTTTTAAAAATTATTTTTCAGGGTCTCCCTCCACACAAGGCGTGGATTTTTTAAAAATTATTTTTGAGGGTCTCCACACAAGGTGGACCTAAACAAGGCGTGGATTTTTTAAAAATTATTTTTCAGGGTCTCCATCCACACAAGGCGTGGATTTTTTAAAAATTATTTTTCAGGGTCTCCCTCCACACAAGGCGTGGATTTTTTAAAAATTATTTTTCAGGGTCTCCCTCCACACAAGGCGTGGATTTTTTAAAAATTATTTTTCAGGGTCTCCCTCCACACAAGGCGTGGATTTTTTAAAAATTATTTTTCAGGGTCTCCCTCCACACAAGGCGTGGATTTTTTAAAAACTAGTTTTCAGGTTCCCCCTCCCCACAAGGCGTGGATTTTTTAATAATTATTTTTCAGGGTCTCCCTCCACACAAGGCGTGGATTTTTTAATAATTATTTTTCAGGGTCTCCCTCCACAAGGGTCTCCCTCCACACAAGGCGTGAATTTTTTAAAAATTATTTTTCAGGGTCTCCCTCCACAAGGGTCTCCATCCACACAAGGCGTGATTTTTTTAAAAATTTTTTTTTCAGGGTCTCCCTTCACACAAGGCGTGGATTTTTTAAAAATTATTTTTCAGGGTCTCCCTCCACAAGGGTCTCCATCCACACAAGGCGTGAATTTTTTAAAAATTATTTTTCAGGGTCTCCCTTCACACAAGGCGTCGATTTTTTAAAAACTAGTTTTCAGGGTCCCCCTCCACACAAGGCGTGGATTTTTTAAAAATTATTTTTCAGGGTCTCCCTCCACACAAGGCGTGGATTTTTTAAAAATTATGTTTGAGGGTCTCCCTCCACACAAGGCGTGGATTTTTTAATAATTATTTTTCAGGGTCTCCCTCCACACAAGGCGTGGATTTTTTAAAAATCATTTTTCAGGGTCTCCCTCCACACAAGGCGTAGATTTTTTTTTAACAATTATTTTTGAGGGTCTCCCTCCACACAAGGCGTGGATTTTTAAAAAATTATTTTTGAGGGTCTCCCTCCAAACAAGGCGTGGATTTTTTAAAAATTATTTTTGAGGGGTATCCCTCCACACAAGACGTGGATTTTTTAAAAATTATTTTTCAGGGTCTCCACACAAGGTGGACCTAAACAAGGCGTGGATTTTTTAAAAATTATTTTTCAGGGTCTCCACACAAGGTGGACCTAAACAAGGCGTGGATTTTTTAAAAATTATTTTTCAGGGTCTCCACACAAGGTGGACCTAAACAAGGCGTGGATTTTTTAAAAATTATTTTTCAGGGTCTCCACACAAGGTGGACCTAAACAAGGCGTGGATTTTTTAAAAATTATTTTTCAGGGTCTCCACACAAGGTGGACCTAAACAAGGCGTGGATTTTTTAAAAATTATTTTTCAGGGTCTCCACACAAGGTGGACCTAAACAAGGCGTGGATTTTTTAAAAATTATTTTTCAGGGTCTCCACACAAGGTGGAACTAAACAAGGCGTGGATTTTTTAAAAATTATTTTTCAAGGTCTCCACACAAGGTGGACCTAAACAAGGCGTGGATTTTTTAAAAATTATTTTTCAGGGTCAACCTCCAAACAAGGCGGGGATTTTTTAAAAATTATTTTTGAGGGTTTCCCTCCAAACAAGGCGGGGATTTGTTAAAAATTTTTTTTAGAGTTTTTACGCATTTTTTAAGGACCCACACAAATTGTGCAGAAATCTTTTTCTTTGTTTCCGTGTCCTTAAAATTCCAAATCAGATCTCTTTCATTGTTTTGTTTTTCTGTGCGTGTGGCTTTCGCAGAAGTGTCCACACATTAGAGATTCATCGCACAAAAGCATCGGATAAATCCTCCAGGGAAAACGTGTTTTCATTTTCATTGGAGTTTTCTTCTTCTTCGTCGTCGTTGGCTATTCCGGCTAGCTTAAAATAGTTGCTGCGGGTATTACCCCTCCCCGCCCCAGATGGACATACTCGTGATAAGAATCGTTAGCATAAAATTTAAATGAAAACTTATTTAAACAAAGTTATTCCTGTTAATACCCATATCCCCCCTTCTCCTCACTAGGTTCTCCCTTTCACCACTTCCAATGCTTCAGGGGTTATCACATTCCACTCCTGCCAGTGTTTACTCTGTTAAAAATGCGTAATGATGATGGTGGTCGTCTTCAGGATTCTTAACTGTGTTTTAAGTGCATACCTTTCGATTTCCATCGTGGTGGTAATGGAGGTGTTCGCTTTTCTTTCTCCTTCGCATGAAAAATGAAAATTCATGCCAGATTTTTTTTGCTTTGCTTTTCATTTCTTCACTCAATAAATGCTTGACTTAGTTTTCTGAATTTTTTTCTATCCTTGATTAATGATGACTCTCTTCGTGTGAAGTGTTCGGTGGAGGTGTTATTTTTTGTCATCAATGGCTTGGCATCAGGATTTTTTTTGGGATGAGGTTTTGCTACGTGAAAAGTTACTTCTTTTTCTTCGCATCGGGTGTAAATTGGTTTCTTTCCGGCCATCTGCTTATTAAGCATCGATAGAGACATAACCTCAAATTCATTATTCATGATTTGGTTCCGCACGAATTTCCTCAATTTTTGTGATTATTTTTTTTTAAGTTTCGCGTAAACATCATTAGCTAATTTAAGCGATACGTTCATTGATATGCCAAACGGAATTTGTCACCAGTCAATGCTCTTTGATTTTTCGGTCAGGTGATAAATGAATCGGGAAAGAAAAAATAATGAAGGTGGGGTTTGACGATTTTTCAATGGGAAATGGAAAATGATAAATGGCAAAAAATAATTTTTAAAAAATCCAAGCCTTGTGTGGAGGTTGACCCTAAAAAATAATTTTTAAAAAAATCCAAGCCTTGTGTGGAGGTTGACCCTCAAAAATAATTTTTAAAAACTCCACGCCTTGTGTGGAGGGAGACCCTCAAAAATAATTTTTAAAAAATCCACGCCTTGTGTGGAGGAAGACCCTCAAAAATAATTTTTAAAAAATCCACGCCTTGTGTGGAGGTTGACCCTTAAAAATTAATTTTTAAAAAATCCACGCCTTGTGTGAAGAGAGACCTTCAAAAATAATTTTTAAAAAATCCATGCCTTGTGTGAAGGTTGACCCTCAAAAATAATTTTTAAAAAATCCACGCCTTGTGTGGAGGTTGGCCCTCAAAAAAAAATTTTAAAAAATCCACGCCTTGTGTGGAGGTTGACCCTCAAAAATAATTTTTAAAAAAATCAGGCCTTGTTTAGGTCCTCATTTTTTTTAAATAATTTTCTGTTATTTTTTTTAAATATATATTCACATGTTTATTTATTTGTATATGTATGTGTGTGTATTTACAATTTATTTTATACAAAATATTCGTTACAAATCCACATGCCTCTCTTTGCTGTGCTGATGCAGGGTGGCTATCAGCGATACAGGTACATTTAAATCATGGATATCCTCAGGCTTGGCCAATAGATTCCGATTTTTGTGATAATAATTGATATTGTCCTCCGATTGGATTGGATGCCCATGGCCATGATTTACCTCCTCAATGATGTCCTTGGCCTCTCTCAACAGCATTCGATCATCCTCTTCATAGAACCATTGATGATAGACTTCTCTGGGATCTATTTGCCAGAATTTATGAAAGGACACAGGGCGATCATGTTTCAAACGTTCCGAAGGGTAATCGTTTGGACGGGCCTAGGGGAGATAAAAAAATAAATATAAAATATACAGGTTAACCAAATCCCAATGCCTCTGGACCCCTATAGAGATGTGTATGTGTGTGTGTACACATATCCCACATGTATGTGTGTGTATGTGTTGTAGTCATGTTTTTTTTCCTTTGTCCACATATCACATCACTTCGACAGGGTCCTGAGAGTAAATAAAAATAAAGTATCCTACTTGATGGAAATGTGCGGAATGAAGTGCTTTCATCTGGAGTGTGTGCAAACAGGAACCCAAAATCATATCGTCAGGTGCCGCCGGCGTAGGACAGCTACAGTGTTGGACAATACGTCTAAGGGTCGGCAGCGAGAATGCAATGCCACCGCCACCCGTTATGTAATTAAAGCCATCCGGAGCATGCAGACGATAGCCGTAACGTTCGCCCATATAGATTTCATCCATTGAATTGTAACAGCCGAGTACTTGGCAAACACCTGAAACGCTGTTGCAATGAAAAAAAAAACGAGGATGAATGAAAAATCCAGAACAGGAGGAGGAAGAGAAGAATATTAAAATTATATTAAAGCAAGGAAGAGGAGGTTGGGGCTTGAGGTGCTGGTTGTGGAGTAATCATTCAGGTTGATTATATTATCGCCATAATAATGTGGTAAACAATGTGTGTCCTGCTTCTGCGGGATTTCAATTCACATTGAAATGTTTGTTGCCAATTGAAGGACTCTCCTGGTCGTCAATAGAGCCACAGTGGTGTGGGAGGACTATATTAAAAGTCAAGTGGGCCACTTACGATTTTTTATTACAAAAATAATAAAAAATAAACACAACGGCGAACTGGGGGGATCAATGGGGAAGTCAATTAAAATATGGAATAAGGCTTTAATACAATCGCAATAAAAAACTTAATATTAAGGGTAGTAGCTCAAAAATTATTTTTAAAAAATCCACGCCTTGCTTGAAACCCCTCAAAAATAATTTTTAAACCAGTGAGCGGAGCAGTGTAGTCGGACGGGGCCGGCCATATGATACCCTACACAACTATCACGAAAAGCAAACTTTCTGTGGTTCTATATTCTGAGCCTTGGCAATATTTTGTGATATTTGCACCCCTTTTTACCGATTATAGATCAACAACTCAATTTTCCAATTTTTTCCCTGAAGTGCATTTTTACGCCGTAAAATTAAAAATTGGTCACTTTAGGTTTTGTTTGATTTGACCCTCGGAATATTAACCGATCATAATCTAAACAGCCACTCTAAGTATTTGGTCAGATCCCCTTCAACATGTCAGATCCCCTTCAGCATGTCAGATCCCCTTTAGCATGTATATAATATTTGTCTCTAGAGCGACTAGAAAATCCGTCCTCTAATGGAGTAATAGTAATATTATGCACATATTCACCTATACCTAATTACACCAGAGTACATACAGCCATATAATTGGTATCAATTTGAAGGTCAACAACTCCTCTTGGATATACTATCTACTTCCCGGGTATATGTCCTTCAGGAGCAAGAATATACGCCGCAGAATACAAATTTTGTAATTTTTCACACAAAAGTCAGGGTCCATTTGACCTACTAACGATGTTCGGACCATAACTGCGGCCTCTGGAGCGACCAGAAAAACCGACAAAAATTAAATATTTGGTCCATTTCATCCCATAAATATTAACCGATTTTTACCAAAAACAATAGGTGTCTTCTTTGGCCAGAACCCATACTACATGCTAAATTTCGTGAAGATTGGTCCATAACTGTGGCCTGTATCGGGTTTACAAATTATAATGGACAGACGGACGGACACACATGTCTAGATCGACTCAGCTAGTCAAGATATGACGATCACAAAGCTGCACAAAGCTATAATGCCCTGACAACATAGTTGTGCAGGGTATTAAAATCCACGCCTTGTTTGATAACCCCCCAAAAATAATTTTTAAAAAATCCACGCTTTGTTCAAAACCCCAAACATAAATTTGTTAATAAGTAAGGAAAGCAGTAAAGTCGGATTGGGCCGACTATATAATACCCTTCACCACTTTTGGTATATTCTACATATGTCTCCTAACAGACTCCACCTTTTCGAAAGAACATTGGTATGAAATTGAACGAACTTGAATATAAGATCTTTATGCCCTTCTGGAACCTATGCTAAATTGCATTTTATTGCACCGATTTTTACGGACGAAATATATATGAGAGCTATATGGAACGATTTTCACGAAGCTTGTCGCACATCATTCTACGCTATGCCAAATTTCGCACACATATTTCTAGACTTAATTCATTGTGCTATGCCAAATTTCGTGCAAATCGAAATATATATAGGGACTTTGGTACACCATTTACATTAAATCGGACGAAAATATATATGGGAGCTATATCTATATCTGAACCGATTTTCATGAAACTTAGCTCACATCATTCTGGACCTAATTCAGTACCCTATACCAAATTTCGAGCAAATCGAAAGATGTATAGGAACTTTGGTGGACCCTTTTCTTTAAATCGGATGAAAATATATATCGAAACTATATCTAAATCTGAACTGATTTTCATGAAACTTTGCACTCATCATTCTAGGCTCAATTCAGAACGCTTTGCCAAGTTTCGTGCAAATCGAAGGATATAAATGGACTTGGGTGCACCATTTACCTAAAATCGGACGAAAATATATATGGGAGCTATATCTAAATCTGAACCGATTTTCACGAAATTTAGCACACATATTTCTAGACTTAATTCATTGTGCTATGCCAAATTTCGTGCAAATCGAAATATATATAGGGACTTTGGTACACCATTTACATTAAATCGGACGAAAATATATATGGGAGCTATATCTATATCTGAACCGATTTTCATGAAACATAGCTCACATCATTCTGGACCTAATTCAGTACCCTATATCAAATTTCGAGCAAATCGAAAGATGTATAGGAACTTTGGTGCACCCTTTTCTTTAAATCGGATGAAAATATATATGGGAGATATATCTAAATCTGAACCGATTTCCCCGAAACTTGCTACTCATCAGTCTAGGCCCAATTCATTACGCTATGCCAAATATCGTGCAAATCGAATGATTTTCAGGGACTTTGGCGCACCATTTACCTAAAATCGGGGGAAACTATATGGGAGCTTTTTCTAAATCTGAACCGATTTTCACGAAACTTAGCACACATCATTCTAGACTTAATTCAGTACGCTGTGCCAAAATTCGTGCAAATTGAATGATTTTCAGGGACTTTGGTGCACCATTTATCTAAAATCGGACGAAAATATATATGGTAGCTATATCTAAATCTGAACCGATTTTTCCCAATTTCAATATTGTTCGTCCTTGGGCCAAATGAATGAGCTGTGTTAAATTTCATCCAAATCGGATTATAAATGCGACCTGTACTTTGTTTACAATTTAACACCAACAGACGGACGGACATGCATAAATCGACTTAGAAAGTGATTCTATGCATATTCTCAAAAGGAACCATGTTTCTATCTCGTTTCCTTTTGCCCGTTACAAACATATGCAGAAAGATATAATACCCTGTGTGGTTAAGGGTATAAAAAATCCAGGCCTTGTTGAGACCCTCAAAAATTATTTTTAAAAAATCCACGCCTTGTTGAGGACCTCAGAAATAATATTTTTTTCTGAGAAACTATTTTTGTGGCAAACCACTGTCCCTTGTTGAAGTCCTGCAACACCAAAAATAAAACTTGTTGCCCTCAAATGCAACCAACCAACCAAAGGAGTCCCGCGACTTTATCCTTTTCCTGAAATCCATGTAAATGCCAATAATTTAACCTCGTCAAACAAGAGAGGTGACCAAAAAAAGAACCCTAGACTGGCTACCAGACTACAATGAAATGGAAGTGCAAACAAAAAATATCCTGATTATCGAAGTGGCAATTCCATTCCATATTGGAACCAATGAAGCAAATATCCTTAATCCGTCGATGAAAATAAATTGAAATTTTAATTGGAAAAAATGGAGGAAGAATATTTTCTCTGTTGGCCCAGGGCCATATTTTTCATTGAAGGAGGTGAGGGGAAGGTAGGGAAGTCTAGGAGATTAATAACACATGCATATCCTGATCATTATTTTGAAATAATTATTATCTCTTCTCCTTACCTCAATAACGTATCATCATCGGTTAGCAGCAACCATCGGATTTGATGAGACTCTTTCTGCTCGAACTTCTCTTCCGATTGTTCAAGGTGTTGATAATCATATCTGTTGTTCTTATTATTGACAAAATTGTTCTGCATGTTGTTGCCATTTTTGTTGTTGTTCTTGTTGTTGTGGTTTTCAATATCCCTCAGAGCCAATTTAAGAATTTGTAACGTTTTGGCACAATGGCCCATTTCGACATTGACAATGCCAGTATTGATTGTCGGTATGTTGGCATCTGTGGAAGGACATGCAAGAAGAGAGGGGAGAGATAGAGGGGGAAAAGGGGCAAGAGAATTATCAATCATCATTTACTTTTAGCATAGAGATGTATGTTGCAATTGAATTGAAATTAATCGGAACTAAAGGACGAAATGATATTAGGGTGTATCGGAAATTTAATGGGAGCTGATACGGGGGTGGAAATAGAGGGATAGGGTAGATTGTATGGATGGTATCATGGTAACTATGGGCGTGGGAATTTTTACCTTCAACATCACTGTAGTAGTGTATGTGCTTGGCATATGGCGCCCAAGTGCTTTGGATTATGGGCAAACGTTCCTTGTGGAATTTGGAGCAGGTTTTGACGGCAAAATATATTTCATCACGTTTAGCGGGGATCTGAAAAAGAAAAAAGAGGAAAATAATTTTCAGAAGCCGTGGATTTTTCTTTGAAGCCGTCTCTGACTGACAGGACTGTAGTTCTGGGAGGGGAAGACCTACACGGGACTCTAAACGCTATCCACGATAGCCTAGAGGAGCAAAAGTAAGGAACTCTTCGACCAGTTAGACACACTGATACCGGAAGAGCAATGTGGGTATACGCTTCCGGAGGAACTGCTACTGAATCTTCCCCTAACTGATGATGAGCTGGACACCACGGTGATCCCAGAACGTGCTGTTTCGTATCTCAGCAAATTTGTGGGGCAAGACTCGAATTTGATCTCGGAGAGGGAGGTACCCCTCATCAAGGGTAAGATGAGATACGTAAGGAAGTTCGAAAGAATCTATCCGCACGCTCTGCATCATGAACTCGAGATGGACAGGATTCCCTCCCGAATCCAACTGCTCGCACAAAAGTGGTAGAATCGGCGAAACCGATGATTCCTTTTTTTTGGTCGCCACTGCGACTTCTGATCTGAAGTCCAGCTCGAAGCCGAACCCTAGTCAAAAGGCACAGGAAAAGGCTATTGAGAACACCCCGAAGTAAAACGGAGGATCAACATGTGGAGGGATCTGTTTCAAAGCCCGATTGTACGCCTAGGGACAGAGGTGAAGCTAAAGCTGGGAGAAGATCAGGGAGTTAACGAACTCCCAGCTGACTCTTAATACAAACTTAGGAACATCTGTGGAACTTAATGGGACCGTGGACAATCTAACGGACGTTTTTTTTAGATGTCATAAGGAATCCTGTCTGCCAGTGTGGTGGAACAGTAAACTTGGTGAGCTCAGGAAAGCGACCAGACGACTGTACAACAGGGCGCATAAATCAACACTCGATATTGATTGGAACTCCTACAGAGCTAGTTTCAACAAATACAAGAGTGAGATCAAACGCGCAAAGAAATAGTCTTGGATAAATTTCTGTGAGTTGATAAAAGGAGTCAACGACTCTGCTAGGTTTCGAAGAGTACTATCCAAGGATCCGAAGTCCATCGGAAGTGAATTTCTTTAAAAAAAATATTTTTGTGGGGTTCTAACCTAAGCGTGGATTTTTTAAAAATTATTTTTAGGGCATCTACTTTTGGGTAGTAAAGAATGACTTCTCATTTTAGTCCTCCTTCCCCTCCCCCCTTCTTATTGCTATTCCATCCATGCACTCTCAATAATAAATGCACATCCCCAGCTTCCTTTGTCATTGTCATAATAGTAGTTGACAATGTTCGGCTGCCAAATAAATCTATGCCCATGATCCTAGTTCGTGTGTGTGTGTCGATGTTTTTATTCCCATCACGGCTTTATACTTACACATGATTCGGGCATTGCTGCTCCTGCAGTCCTCTCTATGTTCGCATACATGACACATGCTTTGTTGTGTTTTGGCTTTCCTGTCTCCCAGTTGGCCTCAGGACAAATGTACGAAGTTTTCTTCAAAATTATTTTTTGCATCGTTTTCTTTTTCTGCTTCCGTGCCGAAGGTAGAACCTTTGACCTACCATCATCATCGATGATTTCATTAGGATGTCGAAAATCAGAGGCATTATCAACGCCATCATCATTCGGAGGATGAGGATGCGTATTATCAACTGTTAGAGGTGGTTGAGAGGATGCCTGAGGTTGTGTGGGGCTATGTGTATGCAGTTCGTTCTGTTGTTGTTGCTGTTGCCGGCTTGTTGTGGTTGTTGTTCGGTAATAGATAGTGACATCAGGACTTTTACTATCATTTAGTGATGATGTTGTCGCTGTTTTAACAGGCCTTACAGCTTCATCTTCTTCGGATTCTTCTTCTGCTGGGTCTGGTTCTGACATTTGAACATTATCATAAATGAAACGAGCCAGCTCATGACCAGCATCGATACTGAACTCGGAATGCAGAAGCGGAGGCTGGTGCTGCTGCTGTTTGTTGTGGTGGCTAAAAATGTCGGCAATGCTGTCGTTTTCAGAAAATAATATTTTTTTTGGAGAAGAAGGAGATGAGAACAACAAAAAACAACAATGAATAAAGGACTAACAGGGTTCTAATGTGTTAAAGAGTAAATATGTACCAACATCACACAACAAACACACACATACCAATACACATGCAATCAGTACGGTTACAGGGCCACAAGGATATGTTCGAAATGTTGCTGATACGCATTGCCCTGTTATAGGGGCAGGGAGGACGAGCAGGGCGACAGACAAATGTTCACACATATCTCATTCAACTAAAAGCAATTCAACACTCACTCACACACACACACACATACAGATATGGCCCAGCTCACACAAAGCAAACCAGCAACAGATTTTTCTGTTAAAGTTAATGGCAACAACGTGTTACCACCAACACCAGAACAACAAAAACAACAACAAACTAAAAAATTGCAAAATAAACACAAATAAATCAAAATAGCTTTGCCGACCGGAAAAAATCTGCAGGCTGTGCAGGACGGACCATTAACAGTGGTATAGAGAAGGAGGAAGACCAAAGGTCCTTCAAAAATATTTTTTTTTTTAAAATCCACGCCTAGGTTGGAACCCCTCAAAAATAGGTACTTTAAAAAATCCACACCTAGGTTGGAACCCCTCAAAAATAGGTCCTTTAAAAAATCCACACCTAGGTTAGAACCCCACAAAAATAGGTCCTTTAAACAATCCACGCCCACAAAAATAGGTCCTTTAAAAAATCCACGCCTAGGTTAGAACCCCACAAAAATAGGCCCTTTAAACAATCCACGCCTAGGTTAGAACCCCACAAAAATAGGCCCTTTAAACAATCCACCGCTAAAAATCCTTGTGGAGGGAGCCTCAAAAATATTTTTTAAAAAATCCACGCCTTGTGTGGAGGGAGACCCCTCAAAAATAATTTTTAAAAAACCCACGCCTTGTGTGGAGGGAGACCCCTCAAAAATAATTTTTAAAAAACCCACGCCTTGTGTGGAGGGAGACCCCTCAAAAATAATTTTTAAAAAATCCACGCCTTGTGTGGAGGGAGACCCCTCAAAAATAATTTTTAAAAAATCCACGCCTTGTGTGGAGACCCTCAAAAACAGTTTTTTAAAAAATTCATGCCTTGGTCCCCAGAAAATATCTTTTTAATTCGAACCTAGGGCGGATTTTTGGAAAATATATTGAAACCACTGTTTTATATTTCTCTGTATATTTTAATATCCGAACATTGTGAACATTTACACCTGTAACCAAACACACACACACACATGCCCTTCCATACACACACACTCACACATTTATCGAAAATCACAAAAGTCAAAGCTTAAAACCTACCTTTTAAGTAGCGGCCGACTAAACACGATACCGGCACCCAACATTGGATATGGAAACCATTTGGGATTCTCGAAAAATGCAAAGTGATGTATGATTGTCGGTTCCCGATCGTACAATGGATGGCCTAGAAATAATGGCTATTCACACACACCGACGCAGAGGCAAACGGATGCGGGTGTGAATAACAACAACAACGGCATTACATCAATTTTCGAAATGCATTTCACAATGAATCAGTTAACAAATCCCCTCCCCTAGAACTCCCCCTTATCCCTCTCCCAAACCCCACCTACCTCTTGGTGATTCTCCTCCATTAATCTGTCCATGAGCTGGCGTACATTAACGCTGGTCGTCTCCTCACAGAAGATAATCCATCTGGTCAGATTGGTTATTAATTCCATACCATTGTCAATTTGTTTAGTTAACTTGGATGTGGCTGGAGACGATGGTGTTGTTGTTGTCTCCTTGGCCCCATGGGCGTACAGCAGATGCGGTATGATGTGCAGCAGTGTCCATTCCCCCGGATAATTGAATAATTCATGTAATATTTGTACTTTAATGTTGTAGTTGTAGTCGGGTGGTAGTTGGACCGCCTGCCTTGTCAGATTCACCTTGAGCTGTTGGCCTAATTGATTGTGTGGCGATGCCGTCTGACTACGGATTAGGAAGACCACTTCGATGGGTTCTGTTGGAATGGAATTAGGAAAATTAAGATTATTTAGAGAGATATGTGTAGAATGTATGTAAGTATGTCTGCGGGATATGTAAGTAGTGTAGATTGGAACCAGTAAGGTAAGTAGTAAAGTCGAACTGGGTCGACTATATGATACCCTTCACCACTTAACTTCAGTACATTGTACAAAATTGTGTGCCGGTTTGTCGGCCAATCTTTGGGTCTTTAGTGCATAATTTAAATTAAATCGGTCGAAAATATATATATTGAAGCTATATCTAAATCTGAACCGATTTTTGCGAAACTTAGCACATATCATTCTGGACCTAATTCAGTGCCCTATACCGCATTTCGCGCAAATCGAAAGATATATATAGGGACTTTGGAGCCCCATTTACCTTAGATCGGACGGAAATATATATGGGAGCTATATATAAATCTGACCCGATTTTCTCGAAACTTGGCACACGTCATTCTGGACCTAATTCAGTACTCTATTAAACATATCGTGCAAATCGAAAGATATATAAGGACTTTGCTGCACCATTTACATAAAATCGGACAAATCTATATATGGGAGCTATATCTAAAGCTGATCCAATTTTCACGAAACTTAGCACACATCATTCTGGACCTAATTCAGTACTGCTAAATGCCGTGCAAAGCGAAAGATATATAGGGACTTTAATATACTACTTACCTAAAATCGGACGAAAGTATATATGGGAGTTATATTTAAATCTGAACCGATCTTCAAGAAATTTATTATGCCAAATTTCGTGCAAATCGAAGGATATATAGGGACATTGGTGCAATATTCACCAAAAATCCGCCGAAAATATATATGGGAGCTATATTTAAATCTGATCCGATTTTCACGAAACTTAGCACACATCATTCTGGACCTAATTCAGTACTCTATGCCAAATTTCGTGCAAATCGAATGATATATAGGGACTTTAATACACTCCGACGAAAATATATATGGGAGCTATATTTAAATCTGAACCGATCTTCACGAAATTTAACACATATTGTTCTAGACTTAATACAGTGCGCTATGCCAAATTTCGTGCAAATCGAAGGATATATAGGGACTTTGGTGCAGCTAAACTTTGGGGAGCTAAATCAAAATCTGAACCGATTTTCACGAAACTTAACACATATCACTCTAGACATAATTTAGTACGCTATGCACCATTTGGTGCAAATCGATAGATAGATATATAGGTACTTTGGTGCACCATTTACCTTAAATCGGGCGAATTTCAATAGGGTTAGTCCTTGGGCAAAATAGATGAGATGTGCCAAATTTCATCCAATTCGGATAATAACTGCGACCTGTACTTTGTTTACAATTTAATATGGGCAGACGGACGGACATGCATAAATCGACTTAAAAAGTGATTCTATGCATATTATCAAAAGGAACGATGTGTCTATCTCGTTTCTTTTTTGCTGTTACAAACATATGCACAACCAGTGAGCGGAGCAGTATAGTCGGACGGGGCCGACCATAGGAAACCCTACACAACTATCACGGAACTCTAACTTTCTGTTGATATTTATTTCGAGCCTGGGCAATATTTCTGATATTTGCACCGCCTTGCCGATTAGAGATCAACAGCACCTTTTCCTTACACGGACATATTTTCCGAATATTGCTAATATTCAGTCCTTCCAATTACTTGTCCATATTCCCTTCACCGTGGGTTGTGTTGTGATGTTCGGCTTTCAATTGTGGCCTATAGATCGACTCGAAAAAAACACAAAAAATTATGTTTTCGGTCCATTTCATTCCAAAATGATTATGTGATCATCACCGAAAATTATAGGCGTTGTCCTTGACCATAACGTGAATCTCATAGAAAATGTCAAAGCTGGTTTCATGGGTTACAAAATAATATCTCAGCACGTAAGCACCCGTAAAAATGTATGTGTAACTCCCACATCCGAATACATACGACCATATAATTGGTATAAATTTAAAGGTCAATCACTCCTCTTGAACATACTATTAATTTATCGGGTGTAGGACATTCAGGGGCATTTATCAATCGACGAACATTTGTCAATCGACTCCAAATTTTCTGAAACGGATTTAGTTCAAACCAATATTTCGATTCACCATATTAAACCATAAGGCTTAGGGTCTTATAAGGTGTTACCTTTTTTCTATATCTCTTCTCTATCGATATTTTTATTTTATTGTTATACCGTCATTATGTATTATTTGCATCTACAAAGCCCCACCACAAATTACTTCCCAAAAAAATCACTACATTGGCAACACCTTTTTTGTGTCACTTGTCTCCCTCTCTCTCTATCAAACAGGTGTCATCTGCCTGTCATTAATCAGTACGCGCATTTCTCGGCGATGCAGTTGCATTTCGGGCGTTCTTGCAAACAATTCACAAATTTAAAGTTTTAGCAATTGAAACAACTATTTAAAGAAATATTTTGATTAATTATTGTTCATTTAACATTAAATTTACAAAGTGAATTAAGAAATTGTTTAAAATATAATAAATATACGTGAAAATGTCCCAAGAAAGTAGTGGCTCATTTGCCTAATAAAGAACAAGAGTTCTCCCGTGTTTTCATTGTGAATTTTCGTATTTTAAGTGTTAAACATCAAAGTGTTATACTCGCAAATCATTAATTATATTGTTTTAAGTGGAAATAATTTAAAATTCCAATAAATTATAGTAAAAATAATTCATTTAAAATTATGTCAAAAAGAATTTGTGCTGGCACCCAAAAAAAGCCTTGTGCATTTTTGTTGCCGTTTGTTTTGATTTTGTTACATTGGTTTGTAATGATTGTGTGGTTTGTGTACGGGAATTTCGCAAAAGGGAGAGAGGGAGAGAGCGCTCATGTCTCAGAGAACTACAGACGGAGTGCTCCCATTTTTTTTTTGTTTGGTGATAAGTTGATGCGCTTTTGGGAGAGGAATCATGAAAAAGCAAGCAATTGGCAAAATGGAATAATAAAAGGTAAGACTATTTACTTTTTTAAATATATGAATTTATATAAAAATAATGATTAATATAATATTAATATTGGTGGGAATATTGTGTAAACTCATTCTACATTGTTATGTGAAAATCAATAGATATTTAGGCATATGTATCGTACTAACGACATACCTAGGAGATTAAATTGACCGAAAAAATAATTCCCTAAGAGATTTACATACACCAGAGAGTGAAGTCTATATTAAATTTGAGATTTCATTTTTTCCCAAGGGCCTTACAAAGAATATATAATGAGAATAAAATTCGATTTCGATTTAATCATGCTATGCATAGACATCGTACTATTCCTAGGGTGCTTGGCATTGGATGCATCGACACACGCTTTGGTATAGACATTATTAATGGTACGCCCAAATGTTCGGTATATTAGGAATTTTGGGCTGGATTTCAACAAAATTATTATTTCTTTGTATTCTCACTCGTTTGAAATCTCTCTTTCAACTATTTCCATGTAGGGTAAGTGCACCAATAGTCGGCACTTTAAGGATTTTCGTATTTTTAACGTTTCGCTATCCCGACAGCATTATTTTCAATGTATTGTATTTAGGTTCATATGTTTCGAAATTTTGTTTACTTCCCGATGCAATAAAAATTTGTTTAATTAATTTCTATTAAAGTAGATTAAATTGATAATTAGGTAAAATAGTGCCTTTGTGCACTTTTTTTCCAATTGTCGGCATGTTATGTTCCAATAGTCGGCATGTCGTATTTTAGTTAAACAAAAATTATTTATCGGTGAAATTTTACATGGAATAGGGGATCGGGCCAAAGAATAAGCAGGCATGTTTTGATAAAGATCTGTCAATATTTAGCGGGTCAAATGTACCCTGAAAATGACAAAATTTGTATTCTACAGCGTATATATTTACCCCTGAAGGACATAGACCCGAGATGTTGATAGTATATCCAAGAGGTGTGGTCGACCTTAAAATTGATACAAATTATATCGTCGAATGTAGTCGGATATGGGAGTTACACTTAAATATTTGCAGGTGCTAACGTATTCAGATATTATTTAGTAACACATTACCCGGAAATATTGCGCTGATGGCTTTGAAATGTTCCATGAAGTTCCAGTAATGGTCAAGGACAATGACTATATTTTTCGGTGATAATCAGATAATAATTTGGGGATGAAGGGGACCGAAAACTTGATTTTTTGTTGTTGTTTTTTTTGGATCGATCTATAGGCCACAATTTAAAGCCGAACATCACAACACAACCCACGGTGAAGGGAATCTGGGCAAGTAATTAGAAGGCTGTACTGAATATTAGTAAAATTTGTTGACCTTTAGTCGGTCAAGAGTGTGCAAACATCGCGAAATCTTGTCCTAGATCAGAATGTAGTACCACAGAAAGTTAGATTTTCGTGGATGTTGTGTAGGGTATCATATGGTCGGCCCCGTCCGACTATACTGCTCCGCTCACTGGTTCATTCTGTATTTTTGGAGAGTGAACCAAAACAGCAACATAGGTTCATGTTGTGATATAGCCCCCTATAGATGTCCCGCCTTCTTTTTCGATATTTTGAAGTATTTATCGGCAACCAAAGATGGTGTAATTTAGCATTTCGGATTCTGGAAGGAGGACAACATATTTGCAGAATACCATATAATAGTCTCGACCCATTTTCGGACTTGAAGACTGTGAATATTTTAGAGGCAATTAAACATTCCTGGTTTATTTATAACATTTATAATAGATGCATATATCAGGGCCCCCTCCATTTTTGGTACTTTGAAGGCTCTAGCTCCATTTTCTAATCATAATTAGCAGAGATTTTTCGACAAATGTTCTGCTTTTGAAATATACCGTTTATGTCTTAATTAAGGTGTTTTTTGATAGAGCATTTTCCCAATCGATGTGCCTGCAATTTGACATCTTTGTATATAATTTTTCCTTCCGCTTCCTTTTTAGTATTTAAACGAATTCTCCAACCGAAGTTTCGGGTTCTTGCCGGGAGAAAAAACATATTGTTAAAATCCCACCATTTTCGGAATGCTGAAGTTCCTAGCCGAATTTTCCAACATATGTGTCTGTAATATGGTATTTATTCTTCTTGAATTATATAAAACGCTTTCCTTCAAGTTACAATTCAAATCCATTTTTCCACATAGTTTAGTTATTATTTATTTAACATTTATTGATATAAATGTGAAATGAAATAATGTTTACATACACTTTATCATACTATGTTCTGACTGACTATGAATGTATGTATGTCGACCTCTTAAAAATTGTTTACTTACGCATTTTAATTATACAATTTCAATTTAACAATTATATAGAGAGGAAAATGTGAAAGTTTGTGGGGTTAACCCAAAGGAGGCAGTTAGAAGTTTTGTGGAAGTCTATCGGGTTTATAGGAAGATTTTAAAGTTGGGCAAGCAGTTAGAAGTTTTATGGAAGTTTATCGGGTTTATAGGAAGATTTTAAAGTTGGGGTTAAAATGTCCTAGAATCCTCAATAAATACTTAGTATTTTGCCCTTGGCGAGAATCGAAGGAGAAATCTAAAATCGAGATCAAAGTCAGTTGTTGTATCAATACTTTAGGAAGAAATATACCCTTATCCATGATGAATTTAATCTAAGTAAGAATCTAAGTAGACCAAGGCCACGAATGAAAGGAGTACTTCTTGGTGTTAAAAATCCAAGAAGTCAAGTAGAAATGTAAGGCGGTGATCAAAGTCAGTTGTTGTATCAATACTTCAGTTAAAAAAGTACCCTTATCCGTGACGATTCGAGTTCTACGGCGGAAATAAAAAAGTTTAAGACCAAGGCCAAAGTCAGTTGTTGTATCAACCCTGAAGGAAATGTGCGGACGTTGGTGGCCATGTCAACACTTTTGTCTACAAGTATGGGGACATTGTCAACACTTTTTCTACGAAGTTGTTAATATGTTGATAATAATATTACATTTACTTTAATAGGAAGAAGCCTGTCCATGCTACATCCATGGTCTCTATTGACTCACTATTCCCAATGTCACTATCGACTTTAGCCCTTCAGTAGTTCTGGTGACAATGTCAATTGTGAGTCAATAGGGATTCACTAATGACATTTTTCACGGCGAATGTCCTCATCTCATAGTCCCTTCACATATCAGATATTACTGAGCCCTTTTATACAGAAGAATATATCATATTGGCTGTCGATATATCGATGCTCTTTGGTTCTTCCATACATCAAATACCATTGGACCTAACATGGATTCGTGAAAGAAGTACTTCGTGGGTGTTCAGGTAGCGAACATGGGTTTCGTATAAAAAATATATGGTGAATGTCTTGCTGTGGTTATTTATTTAAACAGGGATCTATTTGCGTATACAGTCCACTTGAGATAAGATAATTTTATTGTTGAAACACTACAATAAGATAGGAATTTTCTACTGCCACATGTGAGCTTACGGGGAGTATCGTGCTTGCCACATATGAGATATGTTAAGTCATATTGTAATACTTAGATCTTAATCAACAATTCTTATATTAATAAATTAGTGTGTAAATGTGCAAACACGAAATAAGACGAGCTTTCACTCCGCAGGGAAGATCCGTGCATACGTAGATCTCATTTAACATTGCTCCTTCGAGCCGAATCAGTGACCGATTGTGGACAAATATATGCTGAAGAATTTACCGTAAAGGTCGAGGAGACTGTGGCTAGGTTGACAGCGAGCCAAAGCGTAGCCAGATCAGTGGCCGATTGTGAAGAAATATGTGGTGCATAATTTACCTTTTAGGTCGAGGAAAATGCGGCAAGGAATAGAGCCGGATCAGTGATCGATCGTGGAGAAATAGATCCTGAAGAATTTACCTTAAAGGAGACTGCGGCAAGGAAGACAGCGAGCAAAAACGGGAAAAAGGGATGCGGCTATGGCGCCATATTCCCTGGTAGGCGAATCGGTGGAAAATTCGGTACCGACCGAACTTCAGTTAGAGAGTTAGTGAAAAGGCTTTTATCTTTGTATGATTTAAAATCTAGAACTTTGAAAGAAGTCTCAATAAATTGATTTTTGGAACTAAAGTGGATTTGTTCGAGTATTTTGATATAGTATCCGAAGGCTAGAGATATTCTGGAACAAAATTAAAGAAGTAAATGATCAATATGAAATAGCGAAGTGGGAACTACTTCAAAAGATGCGGAAGATATTGATAGAAAACGTCAATAAGGAATTCATGCCTGAGAAGTGTTAGCCGCTAGTGGATAATTATGTTGCAGATATGAAGATGAAGCCGGCGGACAATGGCGATAAACCGACAACACAAGATGAGTGGGTATGTAAGCAAAGGCCGGTAATTACGGATGTCCCCGCCTGGAAAATTGCAGCTATAAATCCTGAAACTACTGCCGGGAAAATGAAGCCCGTGCCGGGAAAATGAAGCCCGTTCATCGTAAGATGGAGGTGGTGGTGAAGACGATGCTTGACGATGATCCTGGCTTAAAAAGGAAGGCAGCGGTCAAAGATGCTGAGCCGCCAGGAGCGACAATACTGCCGCGATGAAAAGGTTTGTGGATGTGCCGCCCTGGAAGAAGATGACGGCCAAACGACCGCAATTAATAGTGGGGCTCCGAACAAATGGAACAGGCATAGAATTTTCCCATAGAAAAATATCTAATATTTTATATCTAATTTTTCTAAATATCTAAATTTTTATTATTACCGTTATAAGAAGACATATCTGTTTTGTATGGTATCACAGGAGATATTTTCCCATAAGTATGTCCTTCAAAATATGTCACAAAATCAGAAATTATATCCAAAGCATGTTAAGGGTTAACAATCCAACCTTTTTGACAAACTCATTGATTGATCGAAAACATCATCAGCCTCCAAACACAAAAATAAATGACAATTTTGAATAACAAAAACAAATCTATATTTACTTCATTTATTTATTGACTAATGATGTGTCATCAGATATACTCAACTCACCTTTGGCATTTAATACACCCGATGATGTTGCTGTCGATGTTGTTAATTTTGTCAAGAATAAGACAATGAAGATGACGAACTTGCTGCTGATACCGATGTCAATGGCAATGCAATTTAGAATTTTCATTTTCTTCTTCTTCCTTTATTGTCTTTGACCAAATATTGATTAGTTGAATATAAATCATTGGTATAGTATTTACATACATACACTCACTCACACATGTGTTCAAGTAGATTGTAATTTAAGCACACCTATACACAATTATACACAAGTCTATTATTTACTTAGCAGTTAGTTGTTGATGTATAGTTCGCTTGCAGAGATAAGTCGTATGGGAGTCAAAACTATCTGGACACAATGCAATACAATAGAGTTAATTATCGTTTTAGATAAACAATTGCACATGCAATTTCAATCATCAATTGTTTCACAATTTTGTCTGAGGGGGCCTCAGAGCGCACTCCCATGCACACAGGAAGATATATTTACACTAATGCAATTTAAGTATAAATGGAGGAGGATAGACGGTCTTGTTATATGGGAAACCCAATTGCCTACAAATGATCTTCTTTTAAAGACCAATAAATCTTCGATACGTTTAGAAGAGTACCTGATCTTCTTCAAGGCCAATATATGAAAGTATGTGCGGAATAGTTAGGATTTTGTTCTACAAGGAACTAATTAAAACGCAATTCCTCGGCGAGAATCCACGGAGAACTGTATCACCAAAATCAAAGTTGGTTGTTGTATCAATGTTCCTGAAAGAAAAAATGTAAGTTGATAGATGTCCACTTCTTTTTAGCGCTTCATTACAAATTATTATATCAACATCAATGTCAGTTCTTTTTTCAATACTTCGATAGAAAAAATATACCCTGACCTCTAAGGGTTTTCGGCGAAAAAGTTTAAGACCAAGGCCAAAGTCAGTTGTTGTATCAATGTTCCGATGAAATAATATTAGAAGATTACTTAGAGACACTTTGTCACAATTCGGAGAAATCACTAACCATCTCTTCAGAGAATTGGCTACGAAGGAAATCCCTTGAGAAAAGTGCTGCATTCCAAACATGGAACTGATTTAAGTAAATTGTGAGTAAATATCAAAACCCTCTAGAACGCTGGAAAATGATAATAGGACATTTCTCGCGTTTAACAGCACAAAGATGTCCGATTGGTCAGAATTCACATACCTTGTACTTTTTATACGGTAATAGGAAATTCCGATAACGTAAACAGCTGCTAAAATCCTTGCCAAATCATTCAGTGTAGCAAAAGAGCTTGAAGAAGTCGCTCGCCTTGAAATGAATTCAAAAACGGAGAAATTTCCCTAGACGTGAACTGATAGTCATGGAGCATAAGCGAAATTTGTGGTTGGAACATCGGATGTTTTAAAATCAAAAGAGGTGACAATTGCAGTTGAACAGCTTCCCGGATAGCTAAGGAACTAATAACGAAGGCAAAGGGTCAAGACATCGTTCATGGAGCATATGGTTGGAGTATCTGATATGTTTTAAAAATTGCAATCGATCTTATGAAATTGTAAATGGAGATCAAGGCTCTCTCGAAGAACTTCTGTCGAGGCCGTTTTTCCAGAATTCACATAACATATACTTCTGATGTAGAAAAAATTCCAAGACACGTTTACAGCAGATACTATCGCAGCACAAGCAGTCGGACTAGCAAAAGAGCATGAAGAACTGCCACAGTTGAAAGGATTTCAGAAATGGAGAACTATCGTAGGAGGTCAACTGATGAACGATTTCAGAAATGGGGAACTGTCACTGAAGGTCAATTGATAGTCGCGTAGGAGCATAAGTAGAATATATGGTTAGATGAAGCAACAGGACAATCAAAAGATTATGACGAACTTCCTCGGCTCGATCGATATGAGAGACGAGGAGAGTTGCTTAGAGTACGTGGTCTTACCCACAGTGCTGTAAACACGAGTTAATACAAAGCGTCATCCGACGCCCGCACACCATGTGGACATGATTACCTCCTTTGCCAGCAGATCGTCCCGGATCATATGCGGAATATATAAGGACAACCCACAGACGCGGTGCATAAGCGGAATATGAAAAACAGGAAACTATAATAGGAGGATCTTTGGTCGCCGAGCATAAGTGGAATATAGGGTTGAAATATCGAACATATTTAAGTATAGGGGTAAATAGCAGTTAACATCAAAATAAGGCAGTCGGACTAACTATCACTGAAGGTCAACTGATAGTTGCGAAGCATAAGCGGAATATATGGTTAGAAGAAGTAGCTGGACTAGGTGAATTTCCTTGTCCCGAACGATATGAAAAACGGAGAACTATCAGAACAGGCCCTACACCAAAGTGCAGTGGAAAAGTCTTCAATCCTGCCAGAATGCCGCATGAGGACTGCAACAGATTGTCTCCTCATGACTCCAATAGACGAAGATCATTCCTGTGCGTCAACACAACTAGATGTTGTCGATACCATCCAAATTGTTACCTAATCACTCGCCTATGATAGCTGCAGAAAAAGCTACCTCGACAAAACAGAGTGGTCTTGGCACAATTAAGATCAGAATGGTGTAGGGCACGAATTGATGCCCGGCATGTTGTAATGTACCACATGACACGCTACACCTATTCAACTGCCCAGCCAAACTCCCTCACCTAACCCCATATTCTCTTTGGAATCAACTGATACAGGTCGCAGCCTTCCTGAACTTGGAGTAAGAAGCAAATCTAGATTAAGGAGAATAAGAAGAAATACACAGCAGTACAAGCTGCTACAACAACACCAAAGTGCAGGAACCAATCGGTCATACGTATAGTCGCGGAACATAAGCGGGATATATGTGGTTGGAAGAAGCAGCCGTTCTAGCAAACGATCATGACGAACTTCCTCGGTTTGAACGACGCGAGAGACGGAGAAGTATCAAAGGAGGTCAACTGATTGGTCGTGGAACATAAGCGGATTATATGGTTGGAAGAAGCAGCCGGCCTATACGAACTTCCTCTGTTCGAAAGATATGAGAATCGGAGAACTATCACTAAGGGTAAACCGATAGTCACAGAGCATAAGCGGAATATACGAAGGTCAATTGATGATTCATATAATAAAAATAGTGAATGTCTTGCTGTGGGTATATTGTGTAAAAGAGAGAAAATTTAGTTGAACAGGGATATATTTTTATACAGTCCACCGAGGATAAGAGATTTATCATGTATTGGTCGCGGAATTGTTTACCAACGTAGCCATGCCATGGGTTGCGAACCCTGATTCTAGGTGTTATTGAACCGTATAGTACGCGGCATATTTTGAATTGCCTAAGTGTATCCAATTTAATCATAGAATCTGTGATAGCAGCCCCTTGAAATAGCCTTGATATGTGGTTGCAGACCCTTAAAATTTATAAACTTGCAGGTTGCTTGTAATCGAGGGATAATTTTTAACTGAACTGCGAGATAATGATACCCCTGTGCTATCAAATCACAATCATAAACTTAAATATTTTAAATTAATTTACACTGCCTCCATTTTTTTTTAACACACACGTTCTCACTCATAATCTCAATCTATTGTGGCCTTCAAGATTCCACTTTCCGATTCAAGTAGCAATGCCATTGTCATTGGTTGTTGTAATCAATATTTGTAACGACTCTTTAGATAAATTAATTCATTCAATGACTATTTGTGAGGTTAAATGACGGATGGATGCAATGCAGCGGTCAGAAAAAAAACTACAGCACCCAACCACATGAATGCGAATGCGGCAGGAAAGATGCGGGCGGTATAGGCAGCTCACAGCACACCCAGTAAATTGAATTAAATTACAGGGAATTACACTTGATATGACATTGAAAATTATATGGATGACGATTTGGTCAAACAGACAGCTCAGTCAATCCCACAGTCCATCACATCGCAGTCACAATACCGATGAAATGCATTTCACATGGCAAAAAATTGAATCGAATCAATTTCGAAATAAAAACACAATTCTCGTTTTGTCACGTGCGTTCACAAATGCGCCCTCAACTTGTACGGAGATGTTGTCGCTGAGATGTGAATGGTTTGACGTGCCGGCATGTACTGATTGTAAACATGCGGATGGTATGCCATTGAAGCTGACATCGGTAGTTGTCGGTCGGATGGACGGACGAACGAACGGATGGTCGTAGTACTTGCTAAAGGAATTTTTTGCTTCTTCTTTAGCTCACACATAAATCACTCATCATCGTCGTCACAGAATTGAGTGGAAATTGCAATGCGCCGGTGCGTTCCATGTGGAATTTATGAATGAATTTGAAATTCCGCCATGAGGTATTTGGAGTGAAAAAAGGAAGTAATCGTGGTGTGTAGTAAACCAACTGACCGGTGTGGTCGTCTGTCTGCTGTAATTACGTGTGATTAACTTAATTCAGTTAATAGCTTGAGTATTTTTCTCATATCGGATGGATGGGTATGGATGGTCAACTATGTTTGTTGTTGTTGCGTGTGACAATATTACACTTATGTTATGACCAGCCATAATTGCTTAACACTTCAGCTCGGTGTGTGATGGCTGGGAAAAGGAGATTCCATCAATGATGTGCAAAAATTTGCCATGTGATTGAATAGTTACTTATTGAGGTGTGCGATGTTGAAGAGGAATTCATCGTGATTATACACGCGATTAATTAAGGAGATTCCGGATTATTCATTGTATAAAATATATAGAGACGAGGAGGCTTATATGAACCGTGAAAGCCCTAGTTTCCACAATTGTCGTTAAACGTACTATAGCTTGGACAGTTAACTATCTGATATTTAGATATCAAAAGGGAGACTTCGAGACTATGTGAGAGCTAATTCCCCAGCGATATGAGAGTCAGAAAATGAATATTGGAAGTCAAAAAAACTAATCGCGGAGCTTAAGCGGAATAAATGGATTTCAACATCTCAAGTTCTGTAACCCTCTATCACTATATTACTTTGAACCATTATGGTGCGAAAACCAGGTTCATCTACAGACAGGTCAAGGATCTTAAGCGGAATTGAATATCTGAAGTCTTGTAAAATTTCGACCGATTATGATTGATTCATCTGCAGCAGGTCAGCTTCATCTACAGACAGGTCAAGGATCTTACGCGGAATAATTGGTTTGA